GGGGGGGGGTTCTTATGCGATAAAATAGTTGTAAGAGAGACTGAGGTAGCTAAAAATGCCTACAACTCAAATTCCATAATTTTGAGCCGAATCGGGACTTTGAGGGTGTAGCCCCCCTCCTTAACTCTTTGGGGACCACAGTTAGGTTAGCAAAAGATTTTGCCAGTATGTTAGTATTTCAACGCCTATAAAATGGCAACTTTCACTGTAGGCTTCCTAGGAGGTTAAAATTGTTTCCCTATGCTACCAGGTCTGCTTGGGTAGTAATAATGTTGTAAAGTGTATAGTGATTGTTGTTGAGCTCGAATTAGTGTGAAACAAAATGCAGTTCTCCGACATGTGCTGCTTCCGGGCTCTTAGATGACTTCTTTATCTACACACATTATAAATTAATCTTTTACTGTATCTGATACCCAGAAATATATGCAATAACTTGTATGCTATTAAGCATACAAATTATTTGTGTTTCTAAGGGTACGAACACGGTGACACGGACAGACAGGGACAGCTATTTGCTGTCGCACAGGGAAGGACAGGCACAGGGAAATGTGGTCACATTCAAACAGGCAGCAAGAGACAGCAACATTGTCAATCATGGCGCTGACAAAGAAGAAGAAACTCTTATTATTATTTTGGTTACGACGGAAATTAAGACGTTCACGAATTTCTCATTGAAGATATGCGGTTCATCCTATTAACAAAAAACCCTTTTTGTTAGGTGAATATCACCATCTCCTCTCACAGCTTGTGAATGAAGAGGAAAAATTCATTGAATATTTTCAAATGCAGCCCACTGCTTCAATATATTATAATCACGATTAGCGTGATGTTTTTCGCTCTTGTCATAAATTGCTGGCCTTTCTTGCACCGCAATGATCAGTTTCTCTTCAAAATCCTCCATCTTGACAAGAACAATCCCTGTGATCGTATCTTTATTTAACTCCCTTGAAACAGACAGACAGGAAGCCTACAGTGAAAGTTGCCATTTTATAGGCGTTGAAATACTAACATACTGGCAAGATCTTTTGCACGCACTTTTCGGATTTTCCTGACTATCGCTGGCTGTTGCTGTCTGTACCTGTCCGTGTTCAACATAGCCGGGTTGGTGTGTTTTAAAAGAAATCATGAGCGGTTTTGGCGTGCACGCATTTTGATGTGTTGCTGTGACAGCAACTGACTGTCCCTGTTGGTGTCACTGTGTCCCTAGCCTAATTTGTGCAAGCTCGGTGGAATGCGCCACAAAATGGCTTTTGGTGCATTCTGTGGGACACGTGTCCGACCTGCCCTTAAAGAGTTAAAGAAAATGTCTTGGTTTAAATATGAATAACATGAACGAGTTGACTCAAACATATTTCGTTCTACTACTTTACAACCGTTTTCTCCTCCATCTGTATAAATTTAGCCTTCTTTTGCTTTTTTATGCTCGTATATCCTCTTATCGTAATAGTTGATCCAAATATATATATATA